TGCAGGTCCTAATCTTGACTTTTCATATAACTCCTCTAATCTAAATCAAGTTTACTTTTAAGCTCAACCAAACATCCCCTATTCGAAATCAGTGTTTGCAAACCTCTTAAAACTTAAAAATAATTTCCCAAGGCAAAGAAAACTTTATCATTTTTTTTCTAACATCTGGTATTCGTTATTGCAGTTCGGGTGTTGATGAGCTTGAGAAGCGATTGGCAGGCCTCAGAAACCCTTGAGTAAAGACTCAAGAATTTTCCTTTCATTTTGATTCCCTCAAGCATGCATGCTGTATATAATTTCTTTGTCACCCATGTAGTTGGACAAAAGTCCCCTGTTTTTCAGTCCAAATGGTTGGATGGAGGGAGAACCTCCAATATCAGTAGACTTGCCCCTCATCCAACAGTCTATGTTGTGCACTGCACAATAGTTTTTTGTTTTATATACTAATTCCATGTATATAATTCCGTATATAATTCCTTCGTCCACTCTATTATTTTGCTTATTCATCAAATTATAATTAGTGTGTCAGTTATTATTCTGGTAACATGATATAATGATTCTATTGTAGACATTCTCGACCTGATGAACACAAGCAATGCTATTGACAAATGAACACAAGTGTTTCTAAGAATGGCATGTTGAATTCTTGAGTTATATATCAAATGTTTATCGAAAAGTATTCAAGCCGTATTGCATAAGGTAACACTATGTATTAAAGTATGTTTTTGTTAATTTACCACGTTACATCATGAGATTTTTTAAGTTATTACAATTTTTATTCTCATATGTATTCTTCTATGTTATTAAAAATAAATAAATAAATAAATAAAACCTTCATTTTTTATCTGGAAAATCCCAAGGAAGAAGCAACAAGTAGCAATTAGCAGATCCCAGTGGTGGCATTTGCCGTCTGCCCTTAGTGATTAGCGCCCTGCTGGTGTAGTTTGCAATACCAGCAGTCCCCACTCCTCTTCTCTCTTAGGCTTTAACAAAGAAAATGTTAAAAAATACTAATTATTTTTGTTAAAAAAAAAATAATAATAAAGAGAAAAACTAGTAGCAATTAATTTCTTCTTTAAAAAAAAAAAAAGGATTCTGAAGTTGTTAAGTTGATTAACAAATCTAATCTAAAGGGTGAAAATTTTTAATTACCTCTTCGGACAAAATAATTCACGGTTAGACTTAAACCATCCCAATTGATTCGTGTTCACGAGCTTGAATAAAAATTCTTCCTCAAGGTAACCTGAAGCGGTTGTGCATTTTTGGATTTGGAGATGCTATCCGCACAAGGCATAGCCTTTACCACAAAGAGCACTGTTAGTTGCAGTCTAATGCAGCTAGCACTCGGCCTCTAATCGGCACATTTCAAATATCAAAAAACATTTTGGCCTATTTCAAAGTTAAAAAATAAAATTATCCCATTACCAGGAGTGTGGTTATGCTCATAAATTTATTTGGGAGGGTCACTAAAATTGTATTAATTTATTTGATATTTG